ATATTGACTTTATCATTCATTAAAACTTGTAGCTATTCCTCATATAGATTTATACTTTAGAATTTACACTGTGAAAGAAACATGGTAGAAAGGAAAACAACATTATTGTTATAGTTCGTTCTGATATTCCTTTCTTCTTGGAAATCAGATTTTCTTGTTCTTGTAATTGTTCATTAAGTATTATTGTTTTCTTGTCAAAAGAGCTTTAAGGACCAAATTATTGTGTGGGTATCATATTCTGTTAGGTAAAGTTGTAGGAATTAGCATACTTTTGTTTTTGAATGTTGTTGGGTTTAACCGTCTTACCCTTTCCCTTCTTTTTCCTTGCTTACTCTTCCTCTTCTTCCTTCTCTACGTCTTTCTTTCATTTTGGAAACTATGAATGCTATCCTTGTATTGTAACAAAGTATCAGCAATGTGTGAATAAATTACTTGATCTCATGAGAAATACTTTGGATTTTAAGCTTTTGTAGATTTCCTGATAATAACAAAATACAACAATTATCAATCATGTAAATAAGAGTCAGTGTTTTCCGACAGAACAATATTGGAACAAATTAAAGGATTAGGCCTATTACTGGGTTTTGAGACTACTGGATCTTCTTGGTATTTTGGTTCCAACTAAGGAGAATTGAGGGCCCGTGGACTTGTGAGGGTCATGCCTAATGATGAATATATGCTTATGGACTAATTGGGTAGATTCCTATTACAGCCACTGTGTTAGGAATTGCATTGCTGCAGAGAAATACCTGAGACTTGGTAATGAGTAATGAAAAGAGGTTTAATTGGTTCTGCAGGCTGTTCAAGAAGCAGTGTCTGCCTTTGGGGAGTCCTCGGGGAGCTTTTACTCATGGCAGAAGGCAAAATGAGAGCAGGCATCTTACATGGCAGCAGCAGGATCAAAAGGGATAGGGGAGGTGCTACATACTTTAAAATAACTAGATCTGGGGAGAACTCACAGTTGCAACAACGTCACCAAGGGCGATAATGCTAAGCCATTAGAAATTGCCCTCATGATCCAATCACCTTCCACCATGCCCCACCTCGAATTGCTGGGGATTAGCTTTCAACTTGAGATTTGGGCAGGGATGCATATCCAAACCATACCAGCCACTTACTGCCTTTATGTCACTGTTAAAATAAGAGTTCTGAAGATTGTATTAACAATAACTTCTTATATTTCATTCTCTTTTTCTGTTTTTATAATGTTCTGTAGTAAAATCTGTTTTGGAAACTTTTTCAAAAACAAATTCCAATTTGTATCAGTTATAATTATGATGTCACTGCTTTATTTTATCACAATTGTTCATTTTGATCTCAACTAGGAATGAAAGCTGGCTGTTTCTAAATTGGTATCAGAGTCAGCTACCCTCTAATGTATCATCTTTAGAGGCTTTAGGGTGGCATGGGATGGGCAGATTGGGGAAATTTATTGCCCTTAGGTATCAGCATGAATAAACTAATGCATGTGGATGGTAATACATTAACCTTGCCTAATCCAGTCTTGTTCAAGTGAATATATTTGAGATATCCTACATCGAAAACTATTTTCTTAGATCCTTACATAGAGGAAGTAGGAAGAAGAAGATCTTCTAGATACAGAAGACCATAGTTTGTTTATATGTTTAACAGAGATTATCTAACATAGCAATCCTGTTAGAATCTATGGGAAAGGGTAAATATCTAGATATGTAGGTTGGATCCCAGTGGAGTTGACCCATCCTTTCAACCTTTTACTTACTTTGATTGGAATAGGACGTCATTAAAGTATTAAAGTAAATAATAAGTCTGCTTTGTGTAGAAGCTAAAAATTCTACAGCATTTTCAATGGAAGTGATGTTCAGCTTAGTTAATGAACTTCTTTTGAGGTTTCTTCCTTTGCTTGTGTCATGGTTGGGCTTGGTGGCAAAGCTGTATGAGAGCAGTTAGTCATCACTGATACATGAGATAGGACATCTAAAGTTTCTTTAAAAAAGACTTGGCAGTTTTGGAGATGAGAATTTGTTACTTATATTAAAAAAATTATTTAATTTGACCCAGCTCTCTGACCTACCAGTATGACTCCATTGTAATTGATCTTCATTTCCAAATAGAAATTCCTTGTAGTGAGATCAGAGCTCAGCTGACTCTTGAATGGGGTGATTGAGATAGAGTAGCATTCTTTACTCACACTCCACACCCAACCTAGAGTCCGTTGAGATGTGTAGCATGCTGTAATTTGGCATATTGAGGAAAAGACGGAGGCAGATAGGAAGCAGAAAAGGCCACAGGAGCAGGGTAGACTGTTTTGGAAAATTGAGTGACTTGTAGGTTGTATAATCTGAGAACCCACACTGTTCATCTGTAGGCCAAATATGGCCCACATAAATTCACCATGAATACATCTGATTTGACTTGTGTTTTTAAAAAGAGAATTTAATTAAATTGCCAATCCTTAAGAAATAGGAGATTCACATAAGAATTCATATTTCTGGCTTTTTAAAAAAATTTAGAAGATCTGACAGCCCTGGCCTTGAACTTTTGGTGGCACAGACTGCTGCAGCTGCATAGTGAGTGCTTCCACTAGAAGCAGCAAGTGTTTAAGGGGCATGAACTCCAGTTTGCCAAATCTCTAATATTCCTGATTGCTTCTCAGACTCTGAAGCCAAGTTCACTTGATGCTCTTCACTTGTTTATTTCATTTGTCTGCTCCTGTAGGCAGTTGAGCTTGCAACTCCTGGTTTATTTGTTAGGAGACTGAAATACTGAGATAATAGCTCTTTGCTGTTCCCTTTCTCCTAAATGTTAAATATTTAAAATGCCATAGACATTCGCTAGATTGATTATGCACTGGATCATTTAACTCAATAGGTTGAGATCTTCCGTTGTGATTTTTAACCTAGAAGCATCCATAAGGTTAGAATTTCCATTCATTGGTTCTTTTGTCTAGTGCCTTTAAGGAGACCCTCTGGAGCGGTGAAATCTTTGCCTTATTACCTCTCTGCCCTTATGTTCTTCAAGTTATGTCAGGGTCCCTATCCCATGGTAATTCTTAAGGGAAAGCAATTCTTTGTTTTTTTTTTTTTCAGAGTGCCTAGTTTGTGTGCTTGACCAGGCAGAGAGCTCTTGCTCATGTTAGTCCAAAGTTCTTGCTGATGGTGCTATCTGCTCTCAGAGCCCAGAGCTTATGGCTGGAGTTTTTTTGTTTTGTTTTGTTTTGTTTTCCTCTTGAGATGGAGTTTCACTCTTGTTGCCCAGTGTGAAGTGCAATGGCACGATCTCGGCTCACCACAACCTCCACCTTCTGGGTTCTAGTGATTATTTTGCCTCAGCCTCCTAAGTAGCTGGGATTATAGGCATGCACCACCATGGCCAACTAATTTTCTATTGGCTGGAGCTTTTAAAGATGCAGATGGGGTAAGGATGTTGAATTACCTCAAAACATAATGATTGCTGCCTACCATGATTGTCAGAATAAAGTGGAGCTAGGTATTCATTAAAGGTGGAAATTTAGTGAAATGCCTAGGTATAACCTGGTATAACTAAATAAACAAGCTATTTATTTATTTTTATTTAATTAATTAATTAATTAATTTTTTTCAGATGGAGTCTCACTCTGTCACCCAGGATGGGGTGCAGTGGTGCAATCTCGGCTCACTGCAAGCTCTACCTCCCAGGTTCACGCCATTCTCCTGCCTCAGCCTACTGAGTAGCTGGGACTACAGGCGCCCACCACCATGCCTGCCTAATCTCTTGTATTTTTAGTAGAGATGGGGTTTCACCGTGT